CTCTTTTTCACTCTCTGGTACGCTGTTGGACATCATGCGCTTGGGGACTCCACCTCCAAGGCAGCATGCGCTGGGGACTTCACCACCAAGCTCCGTCTTCTTCATGAAGGGTCTTTGTTTTGCATTCAAATCAAGCACTGGCGTAAAGGTTCTGGCAGATCCGCGGCACAAAAGAAACAATGGCATTGTCCCAAAATCTCGAAAATAAGCACTTGAAAATGATAACCGTCCACATAATACAGAGAAATCCACAACTGCGGCGTCTGATCTTCTTGTAAATAGGAGTGTAAGACCGTGCGTTGTTGTGCTTCGCCTGCATCAGCAAGAAATATATGAGACACGCACAACGGAAGTGAATAAAACTATCCTATATAGGTTATGTCATTATTCCAACATTCGTATGGAATTTTCGCACACACGTTTGTTAGATGTGTCACCGGTGCCTCGAACAACAGACGTCTGGGTCCAAGTATTTCCAGCAATGATGAAGCCAAGATTGAGCTCCGTGGCCAACGCAACAAAGTCGACGTCTGTTGCCCAATGAGTATTCCCGCAAGTTTCGAGAGCAGTACTCACGGCATGTTGCAAAGACACCAGGGCCGCAGTGCCAGAACGCACTCTCTTGCTCCTCGTCACGGAGCTGTTGCCCTCTTTGTAGCGAACTAGCATGGCGTCGTCTACAACTTCTGCTCCGAGGACATCGTTGGCGTCTTTCAAGAAAGCAAAAGGAGAGCCACGCAAGAGCGCGATCATGGACCAGTCGTCCAGCCATGTCCTCGCAGCTTCGCGCACCAAACACCCGACGACAAAGTTCAAGAATGCTTTTGGCGTCTTGGCGCGCATGTGTCGCCCGACAATCTTGCGGAGAGCAGCCGCGACCGTAGTTCGGTCGTCCCAGTCAGTCACTTCATCATCGGAAGTGAAAAGATTCAAGAGTCGTGGGTGGACCGCTCGCGCCTGCATCAGGACGACCGCAGTGGACAAGAAGAAGCAATCGCCGCCTCCACCAGCTTCGGCGGCAAAGACACGCAGAGCCCCGTGTTCTCGGAAAAATTGCGCCGTGGGAGTGGCCACCTCTTCCAGCGCAAGAGACCAGATGTCGCAGAAATCCGTTCGCAGCTGACGCCACTTGGCGGGGTCGTACTTCCTTTTGGTTCCCCTGAACTCAGTCACTACACTCGCCTTCGTAGCTGCCGTCCAAGCCCCTGGGACGTACTGAAAGCGACCCTCTGGTGTTCTGTGGGTCGGTCGCGGTAGGTGTTCCGCGGCTGGAAAACCAGGCAGATGTCCGCGAGCTTCTTCGATGGCGGAGCGAGACAAAAGCGCAACCTCCTGCAAACAATGATACAAGATCGACGCACGCCCGCGCGGATGGAATGACTCGTGGCTTTTTCATATGTTATCACTCGAGCAGGGTCAATCAGTCCGTGGATATCCAACATAGCACATTAAACAAGCCAACAAGCACATCAGAGTCCTCCAGTCGATCCAAAAACTCGGCAATATACCCAGGTGGACCAGTTTCAAAGATAGAAAAATCAATATCGCCTTCTGGCGTCTCCGGCAAATTGCGAAATAAGGAATACTCGAGAGCTTGAGCGCGTCCAAGAATCATGTACAAGTGCTGCGTATAATCTGGCTTCGAAAAATCGATCGTGTGCCCAACTCCTTTGATGGTCTTGCCTTGGGCATTGTTGTAGGTTCCAGCGGCCAGCGGAGCAAGAGGATACTGTATCCGAGTAACATCCAACATCAAGGCTCCTTTGCGATGCAATTGCACGCGGAAAGAATCTTCACTCGGTTCTAAATGCCACACTCCAGGCAGAAGCTGTCCAGTATAATCTTCTTGCTGATCCTGTTGCAAGTCAGGTGTGACTCAGAGATGCATGGGTCCTACAGAAGAGAATGTTAGATTAAACTGTCTAAAAACCCAAGTTCACAAACTGTGCAGGACACCTGTCTTCAGTCACATCCGCGTAGAAATGACGTTCAGACTATATTTAGCTGCAGGCCCAGGCCTCAATACGCAAGGTAATCGAGGCAGGGAGATAGTCCAGGCGAACATATCCAGTCTCCCAGCACGGATGCGAGCCCGCGGGGACTCCACCACCGGCGGGCGCGCCAGGCACGCCAAAGCGTTCGTTGGGATGAAATTGGATGGCGATCACCTCGGCCGGACACTCTTGCACGATTTCTGGTGGCAAGAGTTTCTTCGTCACCTTCACCTTCAAGCCCAAGTGCAGCGGTAGAAACGACATGAGGTTGCCAGTTTTACTTGCCATGTTGGTCAACCCCAGAATCTCGCGCAGAATGGATTTGTCGTTCGTGAACTCACTTTGATGCACCAAATCCACTGCTTGAACGTAGTAGAGCAGACGACCTTTGTCATGTAGCAACGACGTCAAGAAGGATTCCTGCTTGGCGAAGACCGCTCCGAAGCGAGACTGAAAGGACCTCGAAAGATACGTCGGAAAGTGTCGACGAATCAGCTGGGGACGTCCAGTCTGGGTGTTGCGGAAAGCTGCAACACCAAAGCTTGCGCGAGCAGACTCGTATGCGCACAACTGCTGGAGACGAGCCACCTGGTCCCAGTTCACTGCGCTGAAGACGCCGCGCGCGAAGAAACCTGGAGGACCGGCGGGCGCAGTGGAGCCTGAAGCCATGGTGTACTCGCTGGTCAGGCGAGGGTCGCCTCCCAGCGGGCGATACACTTGCTTGCGAATGGCATCCTTCAGAGCTGTAGACAAGGGACGACCCCCGACCACTCGCATCGTCTCCAACCCAGAGGGGCGTTTCGGGGGGGTTTTGATGTTGAAATCAGAAATGAGGGTTTTGCTGATGATATGGGATTTCGGGCTGATGTCCCCTGGTCTTCAGACACTGGGTAGAGATAGAACATGTAGAAAAGAAAGTTCAGAGCAATATGATGGACCATGTGTGTGGCAGTGTGTGTTCTATGTTTTCTTTTATTTAATGCTTGTTCACACTTGCAGACTGAAGATGGGTATCATGTGTTCTGGCTCAAAGCAGAAGTGGCTCATTCAGATTGTGTGCCATATTGCGTTGGCCAAAGCCTCAGCCTAGTACCTGGCTCATATGAATTCAGACTGTGCGAGAGATGGGCATGAGCTGCTCTCTGGAATTTTGATTGGCCCCGCAGCCTTTTTGTGCTCGATCTTGGCGCTCAAGATGGCCAAGAAGAAGAGCAAGGTGGTTTGTCTCATGTCAACGTGATATGCGCAGTGTGTGCATCTTGCTTTTGAATGCAGGTGTGCATGGTGGTGTTGCCTGTGAAGAAGGCGAAAGGTCTAGCAGCTGTGGGGGTCTTGATCCCTGTGTGTGAGTGTTGCTTTTTTTTGTTTTCTGCTGCTCTCCAAGGCTCGACCAAAGGCCAACTTCCGCGCCAAAAGCAGCAGCAGCAGCAGCACCGCACCCCCAGCTGCAACCCCTGCAAAGCCATGTGAGACACCTGTCAAGGCGAAGCCGCCAGTTCCTGATGCTGGACAGAGAACCATCTTGCAGAAGCGGATGGAACTGAAAATGCTGGAGGCTGGCTTGCTTTCTGAAGCTTTGACCTGGATCATGTACAGTACTTTTTTTTTTGGTTTGCCTTTGGGAGGAGCAATATGAAAGGGCAGCCAAAGCTAGGACTCCGAAGTCCATGCCAGCGAGCTCTGCTGCTGCACCCCCTGGGCCAGCCCCAGCTGTCCAGCCCAAGGCGCCAAGTGGACCTGCAGACCCACGTCCCCCTGTGATGGAGATCAGGCGATTCTTGTTTGAATGTATGTTATATAGCTCAATTAAATGCTCAAATGTGTGGGAGGCATGATGATGGCGCGGTGATGGTGATTCCGAAACCACCACCACCACAACATGTGGTTCATATCTGGAGGCTGTTGTTTTGGCACTCCAGTCATTTTTTTGGTTTGTGTGACCTGCAGGCCAGAAGGGCCAATCTGGCATCCTCCCTGGATGCCTCCTCCGCCAATGTGGCATGCACCGTGCTTTCCTTGAAGAAGATTTAATTTTGTTTGCGGATCATGAATCTGTTAGGATGATGGATCCGTGGTGCCTTCGCCCTCCATGCCCTCCTTGGAGCATGGGCATGGGGCCATATGGCTGCTGGTACGAGCAGGGTCCTCAAATATGCATGGTTTCTTGATGCTATAACTTTTAAAATTTGGTTAGGCATCACTTGTTCAGGTACTAGCTGATGGATCAGGGACTGCGGCTGTGGTGAAAATGCTGTGGTGTACTGTGGTGCGTGCAGTGATGGCCAACTCTTTCCTTGTAGATTGAATAGCTGCTTCCTAGTCTGAGGCTCATGATGGTCCTGGACACAGACGTTGAATGCTTGCAGTTTTTTCTTTTGTTTTTTGCCATTGAGCATTTCGTTTTTTGAGGTCAGAAGTGGGAGATCCCAGTTTGGGCCTTAGCTCACGCGCAGCTCAGCCTCGAAGGTCGGTCCCTGTACATAGCTCATGGCCATGTTTCATGACATGCTCATGCATGAAGTTCATGCCATGAAAGCATGCTAGGGACATGTGTTCATGCTAGGTGGAGTCACGTGTTCATGTTGGTTCATGCGTTCATGTTAGGCTGGTTCATGTGTTCATGTTAGGCTGGTTCATGTGTTCATGTTAGGTTGGTTCACGTGTTCATGTTAAGTTGGTTCATGTGTTCATGTTAGGTTGGTTCATGTGTTCATGCTAGGTTGTTTCATGGGTTTCATGTTAGGTGGTTTCAGGTGTTCACGCTAGGGGTCTGCATGCGTTGTCATGTGTCATGTGTTTTTTGGTGGGTTCTGTTCATGACCCAATTCACGCTCCCTTAAGGCCTTTATGAAACAATTTCAAAGGCATAGGTGGTGGGAAACACACGCCAGCTCAAGAAGTGACCTGCCCAGAATTAACAGCTGTGTTTCCAGATATATATTGGGTCATGGCCGTTCCGCAGCCATTTGGGCTTTTGTTTCCAAAAGGGAAGAAGCTCGGGCTGCAATGCCCCGGGTCCTGAAACAGTTGCAGGATGAGCCTGACCTGGCTGCCAAGTATGCAGCTGCTTTTGGGGAAGAGCCATACTTGAAGATGGTATGGTGCTTAAAGCTTCTCTGGGCAGAGTTGTTGTGGTCTGGTTCCATTTGCTGAGCTTGGCTGAGGTTAACTTCAACTTCATAGTGGCTCATTCCGAGGGACTCTTCAAGAAAGAGGATGCGACGCAGAAAGACATTGAAAAGAATGTTGAGGTGAGAGTTCTTTTTTTGTTTTTGTTGTTTCCTCCCACATTTGTTATTCCTCTTTGTTGTGATAGGCTTGCTTTGCAGTCATGGTGACTACTCCGTGGTGCAGACTCAGTGAAGAAGTCCTTGCCAAAGGGATTAGCTTGTACTACCAGGAGCAAAAGCTTCTTCCTTTGGGCGTCCATATCGAAGCCCTAGAAAGCTTTGCAGCTCAGATGGCTCTAGGCCTTCGCAAAATAGTGCAGAGATTTAGGCGGATGTTTCAGGAAACACCTCATGGAGCAAAGTCTCGGAAGTTGGCCCAGCTCAAGGCTCGTCTGGTCGCTGCTGGTGTGAAGCCAGAGGATCATACCAACAGGGCCACCAGGTCAAGCTCTTCAGGCAGTCTGCCCCGACCTGCTTCAGCGGAAGACTTGGCTGTGCTGAGTCCCAACCATACCCCGGCCAGTGTGGACTGGGCAAAACTTGGGGAGAAACTAAAAGCCTTCCAGGCTGCAAAGGCAGCTGCTGAAAGAAAAGCTGTTGAAATACAGCCTGTGGAACCAGACCCAAAGGCTGCTGAGCCTGCTGGCTTGGAAGCGGCGAGTGGCAGTAAGCCTGCTACTCAAGCTCGTGGGCTGCCGACTCCTGCACGATCGACTGCGCTTCCACCTTTTGTGCTCGAAGCTTTGAAGGCACAAGTTCCTGCGGTGCAGCCCTTCTCTACTTTGCCGGAAAATGACAAAGATGAGCAGGGGGAATGTGAAGCGCCTGTGGAAAAGAAGCAGGGAAAGGCCAAAGCTTCCGCTAAGAAAGCGAAAGCCCGAGCCAAAAAAACAAAGAAAGGTGAAATTGCAGGCGCAGAAGTGGAAAGTGCCTTGAGTCTTGAAGTGGAACCAGCTGCAGCCGCAGCCACCACCACATATGTGGCTGGGGACTTTATGGCCCAGAAGAAAAGGTTCATTGATGATTTGCGGAAGAAGGATCAAATCAGCTTCCAGGAGGCGCAAAAGCGATGGATGCATAGTGACCTGCGGGCAAACCTGCTGGAAAACATGCCGTATAGTGAGCTGAAGCGCCGCCGCTTTGCCTGAGTGATAGGCGCAAATTTGGAAAGGCTGTGGAATTGTCCACAGCTGTCTCTTTGCATTGTGAAGTGGAGTGGGACTTCTGCTCATTGGGGAAAAGGGGAAGTGTTCTAGGTTTGAAGCGCGCAGTGCACAGTGAACTTTTCCAAACTTTTTCATGCACAGTTGAAGCTCAAGCTGTTGGGTACAAGATGGGTGTAGCAGAAATTCTAGCATGGGGGGGCGCCGGCCGTATTAGTTTTGCTGCATATGCATTTAGTCTGCATGAGAGAGCTCAAGAGCAACGAAGCTGGGAACTTGGTGTTTGTTGTGTTTGTTGGCTACTTTGCGAAGTGGACCTGTGTGCTTAGGTCTATGATTGGGTGGAATATTTTTCTGGAGAAGGCAAGGCCAGTGCCGCCATGCGCAGTGTCTGGCACCAAGTTCTTTTCAAATGTGCAACCCTTGAAGCTTTGCCAGCTCAGGCAGGGTTTGTGGGAGTTGAGCTAGACAAGAGCCTGGCAAATAAAGAATTTGATTTCCTCGGCTCTGCTGGCTTTGTGTCTGGGGCTTGGGCTCATTTTGCACAGTGCAGCCATCATGCTTTGTCAACAAAGGCTGGCCATGAATTGCGTTCGCCGATCAAAGCGTGGTGCCCTACACCTGTTTGGCCTTGAATGTCGTAGTTTCTGCATGCCGTGCCAAGGCTGCGGAGGGATATCATGTCGAATTGCGGAATATCACGTCGATTTACGTGGTTTCACGTTGAAATTTCGTGGTGTATGTTTCCTGCTTTTGCTCTGAGCCAAGGGCTTCGGGCACACATGGGCGATCAATGATTTTTCCATCTGGCAATCAAGGTTATCGGTTTGTGCAACAGGGCAACCGATTGGCTACTCGGTGCTCGTTGTTGCTGTGGTACAGCCTTGTGAACCTTTGCAGGTTCTTGCTGGAGCAGCCTCAAGGGTCGAAGGCTCCGATCTTCCCGAGGCTGCAAGATTTGTTTTCCCAACAAGAGGTACACCACACAGGGATCTGGGGCGGCGCCTATGCTTCAGATCCATCCTCGGCCACACCCAAAAGGCATTGGCTCTACAGCAATGATCCTGCGCTGCTGAGCCGGTTAGAGGCTGCTGCTGGCCACCTCAGCAAGAGTCAGCTCGATGCTTTGGGTGGCGAGCCGCTGACCAAAAGACAGAAGGGGGCAGATGGCAAAGTGCACTGGTCAGGAAACAAAGAGGCCATGTCGAAGAGCCAGAGCTTTGGCTGATGTGTGCTGTTGCGTGCTTCAAACCAGTGAATGAATTTACTGGTGCCCTGCTTGTCTGAGGGCATACCACGAACTATTTGGACACCATCTGGCAGTCTTGCTTTCGGAAATGAAAGAAGAACACTGGCCGGCGCTTAGCTTAGCTGTTGTTTACATTTGTGGAGGGGATATGTTCATCGATTGTGTCCTTGAGGCCCTACCTGCAGCAAAGGCCTCTTCTTCCCCAGACTGGTGCAAAACGGACCTGGAACTATTCAAGGAGCATGTTGTTCTGCGCGTGAAGGTATAGGAGAAAGGTGGGATGCGGTAGGAGATTGCGTGGGAAACTATTGATGTGTGGAATGATGCTGGAAGCTCAGGTGACGTTGTGCGCTTGTGCTGTTGGCTCTATGACAATGACTGAGGCAAACATTGTTGAGGTCATTGAATATTTGCGCAACAGTCGCAAGTTCTGCCCAGATGAGAACTGGGCAGGGCCATTGGCAGCTGCCTTTGAGCAGGTCAAACGTCGACACATTCCGTGGACATGAACGGACTGTGGGGACCAAGTGGAATACGATGGAATAAAAGAGAAATGGAGCGAGTGTGGTTAGGTGACCAAAAAACAAAACAACAAAAATATCGACGTGAAAAACCGAAATTTCGACGTGAAAATCCGTGAATCGACGTGATCCCCCGAAACATTTTTTTTGACTTTCTGTGTGGTGGCTGAGCAGTGTTTTTGGCTGAGTTCTAACACTGTCCGCTCTTTTTTCCACTTGTGGGGGAGTTAGAGACATGGAGATGGCTGCAAGGGCTGAAGCGTTTTTCAGGGATGTCTTGGTGCAGCTCATGGAGGAAAATGGTGGCAAGTGGCCATCGCAGAAACAGGTGATGGAGGCAACTGGCCTTGACCAGAAGGAGGTGAAAGAGGTGATGGAGGCTTGCGCTGACCTCAAGCCGGCAAAGCGACAGAAGCGGGCTGCAGAGCCGCCGTTGCCAGTGGATGGTCCTCCTGTGTCACCTGTGGCTCCAGTCGAACCTAAAGCCCCTGCTGAGTTACCAGCTGCGAGCCCTGCTGGCCAAGCAGATGCTGCTGTGCCTGAGCTAGCAGCAGCTGCTCCTGCGAGCTCTGCTCGCCCAGCACCTCCTGGTGTGCCTGAGCAAGCAGCTGCTCCCGTGAGCCCTTCTCTCCCCGCACCTCCTGCCGTGCCTGAGCAATCAGCTGTTCCCGTGAGCCCTGCTACGGTGGCTTACACGCCGCAAGCGGTTCGTGAGCCAGACACGGTGGTTGATGAGACACAAGTTGCTGATGCTGCGCGGCAAATGATTCGCCATGGTGAGTCGAAGAGGTCACTTGTTAAAGCATTGTCAGTATAGTGTGATGGGCGCTTGAACATTGCTGCGCAGGTCCATTGAGACCCTTCTTCAGGGGCAGGCCTTGCTCCGTGGGAAGTCAGCCATTGCTTTGGACGAGGAGGGGCTGCATCTTGAGGAGTGATGTTCTTAATTTGTGGGGCGTGCATTGTGGGGCAGAGACAGCATGCTAGGGACATGATAGGGGCATTGCATGCCATGATAGGGACATGATAGGAACATGGTGGCTCATCCTGTTTCATGATAGGGGCAGATGCGTGTAGAAACATGCCATGCCATGGTAGGTCAAAACATGTTGTGAAACCATGTTAGGTCATGAAACGATGGTAGGTCATGAAACCATGTTAGGTCATATCACGTTAGGTCATGTACCATGTTAGGTCATACCATGAAACCATGCTTGGGAAAACGTGGCAAGCTGTGGCTTGGTGTGTGTTAGTTGGGCCAAGGTTTGTGGAGAACCAGCTTGGGCTTGACTCGCCTTCGGCTCTGGAGATTTCTGAGCAGGATATGGAAATCCCATTTTCGCAGCTGAAGCCTCCACTTGAGCTTGAGCAGTCGGAGAAAGGTGGAGGAGAGGAGGATTTGCCCAGCTCTGCGACCCACAGGGCAGAGTGGCTGCGCCTTGACCGTGTTGCAAAAGGCTCAAAGGCAAAGGCGCAGTTTCCTCAAATTGCTGAGATCTTTGCTTCGGGTAACATGCTGGAGAAACGGAAGTGCCTCAAGAAGTACCTGGAGAATGGTTCCAATATGGCCACTACTGAAGGGAGCTTCACTGCAGAGCGACTTCACAAAGACAAGACCAAGCGCAACCTTGCTTGCTTGACCCTAAAGGAGATGAAGGAAGAGGGCTTTTCCAAGTTTCTTGGCAAAATTCAATGCCTTTCTACTGCTCAGAGAGTGTGTGTGCACGTGTTTTGGGCTGCTGTCTTAACTGCTTTTTGCGCCAACTAAAGCCTGCCTGGGACAAGTGAGGGAGAAGATCCTGGGTTGCATGGCAAGGGGTGGCATCCCAGACCCAGATGCCCCCCAACGACCAAGCATCAATGCGCTACTGGTGCCACATGAAGACCCAGCGTGACATCATTGATGAGCAGAACATGAGGGCCACTTTGCGAGCGGAGGCCTCGCCTCTTGATGTCATGCAAGGCTTAGCAGCTCAGGCTGCGCAACCTGCTCTTGTTCGTGTGGCAGACCCAGTGCAGATGGTGCGGGACAGCTTCCAAGCGCCAGCTTCTGGAGCCTCCTCAGCCGCCTTGCCTGCGCCTGCACCCACTGCACCTGCCCAGCAACCAAGCTTCTAGGCAGCGCTATATAGTCATGTTGGTTTATGGCTTGAATACCCTTTGGACAAATACCAGGAGGAGCAGCAAAGGGGAAGGCCAAAGCCAAAGGAGGTGCTCCAAAAGCAAACCCTCTGTCTGGTCCGGCGTTGGCGAACAAGAACTTGTCGGAGAAGATTGGGCTTGTGCGCGTGGCCCTCAAAATAGAATTGCTATGGCTTCCAGAAGTGTGCTGGAATTGAATCTTGAGCTTTGCAGTCTCTGATTTTTTGTTGGGGCTAGGTGGTGAGTTGAAGAAGGAGCTGCAAAGCCTGAAATTCTTTGATGCTCGACTTGGGCGATGACCAGGGCCAGTTTAAAGATGGAATGGCTGACCTGAAGAACTATGTCCAAACACTGACAAATGCCTTCCAAAGGCCTGTGCACTGGCCATGACAAAAAACATTGCTCTCTGATTTTTCTTTTTGATCAGGGTGGGTGAAGTGAAAGAAGAGACCAGCTTTCAGACCACCCTGGATACGATTGCGAAGGATGTGTGTGCCCAAGGATCGAAATTTTAACATTTGTGTGTCTATGATGGGCCTGCAGGTGGCTACCAGCAGGTTCAAACGTGCTGAACTTGGTGCTGTCTTGAAAGAAATTCGCAAGCCAAACCGCCATGAGTTAATCTGGCGGTGCATATGCGTGCTGTCTGATATGTGTGTTGCCAGGGGATACCGTGCCTCGTGATCCTCACGGCTGCTCACTTGGCAGCGAAGTTTTGACTGGCGTCCAGCTGAGAGTAGATCGGGTAGATCTATGCTGCGCAAATAGACTCTGTGTGTGGACGGATGAGAAAAAGAATGTACTTGTCGGAGCTGAGCAGGTGCCATTACTCTTTCAACTGTTGCTTGGTTTGTGTCAGCGCAAGCAAGCAGGTACTGACGGCGCTGCAGCTGTTCGATGTGCCCTTGATGAAAGGCCATGTTGGCTGTGAATCAACTTGGAAATAAAGAGAAATTTGGAAATAACAATATTTCAGGCTGGCAAGTGAAGTGGGCCTTGGGCACACATCGCTAGCTGGAGCGTTGCGGCTCGGGGGGGGTGTACGACTCAAGTATTTGGTCGCTGGGGTCTTA